TTGTCCAGAGAATAATTTTCTAACTCCTTCCTGGTCAAACAAGCATTCATTCTGGGAAAGGGATTCTGTTTCTGATTGTAAAATATTTAATATTATATTTTTAAAAAGAATAAAGAACAAGCATTCAGAAGCTCACTCACTTAAGCTGTGAAATTACTGGGTCTTTTGTTTGTTTGTTTTGTGGCTGGGGGTGGTCTTACTTGCTCAGCTTTGGTGCTCATATCCTGTCTTAGTTTCAACCATTCCACCTATCTTGTCACTATACAAATGTCTGATAATTAAGAAAAAACCTTCAAAGATGTTCTGTTCCATCAAGTAACTTCTGATGTGTGGTAACTAGATGTCCAAAATGTCATATCATTAACAGCTCTGCTCAGATCTTGCAAACCAACAGTATCTCATGTTAGGTTGTTCTCTCTTTCTACTGTCCCCACCCCTGCAATGTTATCTTTGACAGAAGAAAGACAGAAGATAGAGGGAGATATGGTGCTGGCACAGTGCCTACTTGTGTTAGGAGAACAGTGAACAGATGTTCACTGTTTTGGCACTGTGACCAATTGCCAATATCAAGGTAGGCAGCCTAGCTGGCCCTCTACTCTGAACCTGGTCCTGTTGAGCGCCAGGTCTGTATCCAACAAATCCCAGCTTATTTAAGATCTTATTCTGGAGGAAGATGCAGACCTGGCGTGCATAACCGAGACCTGGATGGGTGGGGAAGGAGGGGTTCCTCTGACCCTTCTCTGTCCTCCAGGTTATGCAGTCCAGTACCAGGGCAGACTGGAGGGGAGGGGGGGAGTTGCCATTTTCTATAGAAAGTCTCTAGAGGTTACTAGGCGTTCCTCGGTCGTGAGGCCAGGTTTGGAGGCCCTTCGTGTGCGGATTGGGGCCAGGGATGGTATTGGGATTTTGCTGGGCTACTGCGCTCCCTGTGACTCAGCCACCTCCCTACCAGAGCTGGTGGACTTCGTCTCTGCAGCATCCTTGGAGTCCCCAAGACTTTTGGTCCTGGGTGACTTCAACATTCATGCGGAAGCGGAGGTATCTGGTCCAGCTCTTAAGTTCTTGGAAACCATGGCTTCCTTGAACTTATCCCAACATGTCAACGGCCCCACGCACATGGGTGGCCATATGCTCGACCTGGTTTTCTCCACCGAGTGTAGTGAGCATGGTCCGATGGTGGCTGACCTCGTGTCAGTCCCCTTGTCATGGTCAGACCACCACCTAATAAAAATAAAATGTAACCTCGCAATGGCGCTCTCTCCTCGTAGGGAGCATGGACCTATTTTGATGGTCCGCCCCTGAAGGTTACTGGATCCAATGGGTTTCCAGGATACCATGAGAGGGATTCCAGCAGAACTGTCTGGTGCTCCTGTCGAAGCTCTGGTTGATGGCTGGTTCTCCGCCACTACTAGGGCCATAGACAGGATTGCTCCCAAACGCCCTCTCAGAAGCAGAGCTCGGCCAGGACCCTGGTATAATCAGGATCTACGAGCAATGAAGCGAATAAGGAGATGGCTAGAGTGCATTTGGAGAAAGAAACCGACGGATCATAATAAGATTGCTGTCAGGATCACAACTAACCATTACCTAGATAAGGTAAAGGCTGCTAGAAGATCTTACATCGCTGACCGGATAAGCAAAGCTTCCAACCCGCAGGCGGAACCTTTCCCTATAGTTCGCGATCTATCCAGAATTGGTCTGGGTGAAGGGCTTCCCACTAGCATCTCACCTGACCAATTTGCAGCATTTTTAAAATCCAAAGTGGAGGCCATCCGCCGTGACCTTTCTCCTTTTTTAAATACAATGGATCGAGCAGAAATGTCCAGCGCTCCACCTTGCCCGGTAATTCTTGACTCCTTTCAGCCTGTAACACCAGATCTGGTGGGCAAGGCGCTTGATCACTGTTGGTTCACCACCTTTTCTCTCGACCCTTGCCCAGCCTGGCTAATCAAAGCAGCCAGGCCCATAACAACTGAATGGGCCACTGCAATAATTAATGGGTC